CTGAACGCCTCCTGAACCTGAACGCCTCCTGAACCTGAACGCCTCCTGAGCCTGAACGCCTCCTGAACCTGAACGCCTCCTGAACCTGAACGCCTCCTGAACCTGAACGCCTCCTGAACACCTCCTGAACCTGAACGCCTCCTGAGCCTGAACGCCTCCTGAACCTGAACGCCTCCTGAGTCTCAGAACTGTTCGGTTGTTGTCACTGATGTTCATTTGAATCGATTGACCGTGCTCTTTACATCGTTGCTGTCAGACTTCCTGTCACCTTCTCTTCTTCTCTTCTTCTCTTTTCTTCTCTTCTCCTCTCCTCCTCTCCTCCTCTCCTCTCCTCTCCTCTCCTCTCTCTCCTCTCCTCTCCTCTCCTCTCCTCTCCTCTCCTCTCCGTTTCCGGTGAGTGTGAGTGTGAGTGTGAGTGACGGTGGTGGTGTTGCGAGTGGCGCGGAGATTGAATTGTTTGCTATCCTTTCTACTGTTTTCAAAGTGCATGATCAGGTCAGATTGTTTTCATATTTATATTGAGTGTTGTTGGCTGTGTAAGACAGATCGTTGGAGGGGTTGGAGGGAGGAATGGCGTCTGCTGAGACGCCACCTCCGACTCTCCGACAGGGAGTTCGGATAGTCCCTCCGAACGGTACTGTCACCGTGGAGGAGGTTTTGTTAGCTGCAGGTGAACAGGTAGGCCATGATAAACTTTTGTATGCATCCCGAATGAACAAGGCTGTGGTTGTTTTTCTGAAGAGTCAGCCTCTTGTGTATCAGCTGATTGAGAGTGGTGTGTTCATTAGGGATTTGTTTGTGCAGGTTTCCCCGTTGTCGGTTCCCTCTACGCGGATCACCGTATCCGGTGTTCCGCCGTTTATTTCTAACGACTTGTTAGAGAACGAACTCCGCAGGTGTTCATGTTTTTGGATTCGCCCACACAGACTCTGGAGGTTTCCTTTAGAGTGAAACACGGTGACGCTTCTTATATGGTGTATGCGAGCTCGGGACAACTGAAGTGTTTTGAGTGTGGTGATGTGGGACACAAACGTTTTGCGTGTCCGCACAGACAGCAGGAGGCGGCTAGTGCTGCCGCTGACGCGGGCAGCTCTGTTAGTATGGCGCATGTGGCGGGGGCCGCGTCCGCGTCCGTGCCCGGGGCGGGGGCCGCGTCTGCGTCCGTGCCCGGGGCGGAGGCCGCGTCCGCGTCCGTGCCTGGGGCAGAGGCCGCGTCCGCGCCTGCGCCTGGGTGCTGAGGCCGTGGCTGAGGTAGAGGTGGCTTCGACCAGCTCTCAGGCTACAGAAAAATCACAGACTGTAGATAATGATAAAACTGAAGATTCCACAAGTTCTGCAGTTGTAGATGTTTCATTGAAGGAAGGTAAGACAGTGTGTTGTAGCCAGGCATCATGTGAAGGAGAGGACATGGATGAAGATTATGAGTCAGACAATGCATCCATTGCTGATTTGCCAAATAGTGGCTCTGGTCTTTATTCTTTAGAGTCAATCAATCAATTTATGGACGAAACGTACAACAAATCAGTAAAAATAAGTGACTACTTTAGTGATACTGAAAAGTTCATAAAGTCAGTCAGCATACTGAAAAGACAGGTTGGGTTTGACCTCCTGGACGCGAAAAAACGTTTCCGTCTTAAAAAGCACATCACCGCACTGAGGAAAGCTGGACGTAAGAGTGTGAAGAAGACAAAGAAATGATCATGCATCACAAGGTGTTTTCTTCTACTGTTCCCTGTTTGTGTCTACTTGTCTGTTCTTTCTCTCTGATCTTTCTATGAGGAGTCTTAAGATAGGATCTCTTAACATTAATGGTGGGAGAGACAGACAGAAAAGGGGCCTTATCTCTGAGATCTCAACTCAGAAAAACATTGATATCTTGTTTTTACAAGAGACTCATACCACACCATCAGATGAGACAGATTGGGGTTTATGGTGGGAGGGCTCTAACTACCTTAGCCATGGCACCAACTTTAGTGCAGGAGTAGCCATTTTGTTTAGAGCATCTGCAAATGTAAAGATCGTCTCTTGTGCTGAAATTGTAAAGGGAAGGCTTTTAATTGTAAGAGCAGAAATAGAGGACACTGTTTTCTGCTTCACTAATATTTATGCTCCAAATAATGGAGCTGAAAGGGTAGCTTTCTATACCCGCCTCCAAAAGGAGTTACTGATCTATAATCAGGATCAGATCATTCTTGGTGGTGATTTTAACTGCACACTTGATTTCACCGTGGATAGAATAGGAGAGGAGCCACATCCACATTCATCCCAGACTTTAAACACTGTCATCTCTCACCTGGATTTGTTGGACACATTTAGAGTGAAACATCCACAATCCAGACAGTATACATGGGTCAGGGTTAACAGTAACAGGGTGTGTGCAGCTAGACTGGACAGGGTTTACATCTCCAGAACTCTCAACCCCAGATTAATTCATTGTAATATTCTGCCTGTCGGCTTCACTGATCACCATTTTGTTAGTGTGGAGCTGATTATTTCACCAGGTGAAAGGGCTAAGTCCTTCTGGCATTTTAATAACAAGCTTCTACTGGACAATGTTTTCTGTAAAAACTTTGGGTGTTTTTGGGATCAGTGGCAATTAAGAAAAGTTGAGTTTGATTCTTTGAAGCTTTGGTGGGAGGTTGGTAAAGCTCAGATTCGTGTTTTTTGTCAGCAGTACACGTCACACTCTTCTGCTAGATTAAAAACAGTCATTAAAAATCTTGAGGACAACATTAAGAACCTTGAGGAGGGGTTAAATGGGAGTGTGGATCCCACCACTGGTACCCTGCTGAAGGAGAAACGTATGGAGTTGAGCTCTTTCCTGCAGGAGAGGGTGAAGGGAGCTCTTGTGCGGAGTCGTTTCCTTCAACTCAAAGACATGGATGCCCCAACGTCTTTCTTTTTCAATCTTGAGAGATCTGTGGCTCAAAAAAAGCTGCTGACTTGTCTGAAACTGCCAGGAGGTCGAATAACAGCTGATCCAAAGGAAATGAGCAGTCACGCCATGCAGTTCTATGAGGATCTGTTTGGAGCAGAGAGTTGCAGCCAGGAGTGTCGCAGGGAGCTCCTGGAGGGTCTCCCTCAGCTCAGTGTGGAGGAGAGGTCTCTTCTGGAAGGGGAGCTGTCTCTGGAGGAGCTCACTGCTGCTGTCACTCAGATGGCAACAGGAAGAGCACCTGGAATAGATGGGTTGTCCACAGACTTTTTTAAGAGGTTCTGGAATATCTTGGGTCTGACCTGCATAGTGTTTTAATGGAGTGTTGCAGGACCGGGTCTCTTCCTGGTTCTTGTAAGAGAGCAGTTCTTTCCTTGCTCCCCAAGAAAGGTGACCTGGCATTGTTAAAAAACTGGAGGCCGGTTGCTTTGCTTTGTGCGGACTACAAGATCCTCTCCAGAGCTTTATCGAACAGACTAAAGGACGTTCTGGGAAGTGTGGTCCATAAAGACCAGAGTTACTGTGTTCCAGACCGGACAATCATGGATAATGTTTTTCTTATCAGAGATGTCATTGATGTGTGTAAAATCTATAATCTAAATGTTGGCATTGTGTCTCTGGATCAAGAGAAGGCGTTTGACAGGGTGGATCACTCGTATTTGTTTTCTGCACTGAGGTCTTTTGGTTTTGGGGATGGTTTTGTGTCATTAGTTGGTTTGTTGTATCAGGATGCACAGTGTTTGGTGAAGATGGGGGCGGGGTTGAGTCGGCCAATCCCTGTACGGCGAGGGATCAGACAAGGTTGTCCCATCTCCGGCCAGCTGTACAGCTTGGCTATTGAGCCCTTGCTGTGCAGGTTGAGGGCCGGCTCAGCGGGCTTTCTTTGCCCGCGGCCTGTAGCATTGAATGTCCCCCTACAATTTCTGCCTATGCTGATGATGTAAACATCTTCATCTCCAATCAGGGGGACGTTCGGTGTCTGCGGGACACCCTGTCCCTGTATGAAAGGGCAACAGCTGCACGGGTGAACTGGGAAAAAAGTGGTGCCTTATTGGTGGGAGAGTGGAGGGACCAGGCAGTGCCCAGTCTGCCTGGTGGACTTGAGTGGGGGAGGGAGGGGTTGAAGGTGTTGGGGGTTTATTTGGGTACCGAGGGCTTTAAAAGTAAAAACTGGGAGGGAGTTAGGGAGAAAGTGTGCGCTCGGTTGTCTAAATGGAAATGGTTGCTACCCCAGTTGTCGTATAGGGGAAGAGTTCTGGTGGTCAATAACTTGGTTGCCTCGACTCTCTGGCACAGACTTGTGGCTTTGACACCTCCAAGAGGGCTGGTGGAGGACATTCAAAGGGCCATCCTGGACTTCTTCTGGTCAGGCAAACACTGGGTCCAGGCGGCAGTCCTCTACCTGCCGGTGGCTGAAGGGGGACATGGACTTATAGACATTCAGTCAAAAATTGCCTCATTCAGACTCCAGACTGCACAGAGACTCCTTTTCACTTGTGGTCCCAGCTGGATGGACATCGCTCGACTGCTGCTGAGGAGAGCTGGACGGCTGGGGTACACTAAGCAGCTCTTTCTGTTAAAGCTTGAGGAGGTGGATCTCACTGGATTAACATCCTTTTATATGTCTGTAATGCAGGCATGGAAAATGTACACATTCAAAAGGGAAAAAACTGAGAGTCTGGGAATGTGGATCTTTGAGGAACCGTTATTTTTTAATGATTTCATAAGGACTCCAACTTTGCAGTCAGCCAGTCTCCGGGCCAGTTTCAGAGAGGCAGGCTGCACAAAACTGGGTCACCTGGTAAGACTGACCCTGGACGCCCTCAAAGAAAGGACCAATATCACCTCCAGCCGGGTGGTTGAAAGAGTGGTGGAGGAAGTCTTTGCTGCACTTCCAGTAAAACTTGTGACATTTCTAAACATTGAGAATCTGTGTGAGCAGTGGAGTGAAGAGGGCGAATACAGCTTCCCATCTTTGTCTGTTACCCCAGATGTCGGGGAGTGGCAGGAAAGAGGAGGTGGACTGCTGTCCTTTAGTACTCCTGTTCTGGGAAAGTTCCAGGATGCAGGGAAAAAGGCACTCTATCAGTCCTGTGTTAAGGTCCTACATCTTCGTGGTCTGTCGGGAGTGAAAGAGTCGAGGTGGATCGAGTTTTTTGGCCCGGAGGTTTCCCCGAAAGGCAGCTGGCGGTCCCTGTACAAGCTGCCTGTTGAGAAGAGAACAGCAGATCTCCAGTGGAGAGTTGTGCATGGGGTTATAGCCACGAACAGATACAGAGCGCACATTGATCCAGGGGTGGGAGAGGAGTGTTTGTTTTGTTCACTAACTGAAACTTTGTCTCATCTGTTTGTTGAGTGTCCCAGGCTCTCACTCTTGTTTGTCCTTATGAAAAGCTTGTTTGAAGCTCTCGGGGAGGATTTCTCTTATGCAGTGTTTGTTTTTGGGCCAAAGTATTCTGCAAAGAAAAAGACTGTACATACACTGATGAACTTTTTATCTGGCTCGGCTAAGTTGGCCATTTGGCTTACACGCAAGAACCGAGCTCAGGGTACTGGCTGTGTGGAACCGGTGCTGGTTCTGGAGGGACTTTTGAAGGCCAGACTAAAGGTAGAATTTGCCTATTATCAAATGATGGACAATGTGCAAGACTTTAATAGTGTATGGGCTGTGGAAGAAGCTTTGTGCTCTGTGGGTGGGGATGGAGAGCTGATTATTCATTTTTGATGCAGTAAATGTTGTTTTTGTTGATGTTGTGATTTTTGTTGCACTTGTTTTGTTTTATTTTTTATTTATTTATTTATTTCCTTCTCTTGATCTGAGTGATGATGTGACAGTGTTATAATTTTCTCCTGGTAGTGGTAAAATAAAAGGTATTTTGAAAACCAAACCTCTTCTCTTCTCTTCTCTCTCTTCTCTTCTCTTCTCTTCTCTTCTCTTCTCTTCTCTTCTCTTCTCTTCTTCTCTCTTCTCTTCTTCTCTTCTCTGATGAAAGTTAAACGACCTCGTCCCGTGAGGTCACTCGGGGTTAATGTTTCTTCTGTTTTTCTTTAAGGGTGGGACGTCACCAGGAGGCCTTGGGTCCGCTGCTCAACGCCAAGAGACTTCAACAAAAACTGGGCTGGGCATGTTACTATGACAGCCAGGCTCAGGCCCCGCCCCCTGCCCCCTCCCATTGGTTCTTCACCTTGGTCGGGCTGTCGTGCTGTTTCCAGGAAGTGGACCAGCTGGAGGAGGCGAGGGATCACTGCGACCTCGCCCTCCGCGTTCTCGTCCCCGCTGACGCTCAGACTGAGTCGGACGATAAGCCCCTCCCACTCACAGATACACCACACCCCCTCCTGTTACCGTTGTTACAGGCGGTGGTTCGGCTGTCGTGGCAGACGGGAAAAGATAAGCGCCAGTGGGAGGGGCTCCTGAAGCAGCTGGAGGAGCTGTGGGCGGGGCTTGACAATCAGCCGACTGTGAAAGAGTTTCTGGTCAAACAGAATCTGGAGGAGAGCGAGGGGGAGGGCTAGAATCACACACACACACACACACACACAGACACACACACACACACACACACACACACACAGACACAGACACAGACACACACACACACACACACACACACACACACACACACACACACACACACACACACACACACACACACACACATATACACACACACACACTCCTTCTTCTCCTCCTCCTTCTTCTCCTCCTCCTCCTTCTTCGTCTTCTCCTCCTCGTCCTCCTCCTCCTCCTTCTTCTCCTTCTTCTCCTCCTCCTCCTCCTTCTTCGTCTTCTCCTCCTCGTCCTCCTTCTTCTCCTTCTTCTTCTCCTCGTCCTCCTTCTTCTCCTCCTTCTTCTCCTCCTCCTCCTTCTTCGTCTTCTCCTCCTCGTCCTCCTCCTCCTCCTTCTTCTCCTTCTTCTCCTCCTCCTCCTTCTTCTTCTCCTTCTCCTCCTCCTCCTTCTTCTCCTCCTCGTCCTCCTTCTTCTCCTCCTCCTCCTTCTTCTCTGCATTTCTTTCTTTCTTGTATCATTACTGCCCCCTGGTGACCAGAGGACAGAAACCATCAGAACTCATTCATGTTGACAGACGATAACTTCAGCTGTAACGGACTCAGAAGTTATCCTGACTTTAGACTCAACAACAAAGAGATCTAAAGTCTGAACTCTGAACTCTGCAGAGTCTGTCATCACATGACTTCATCTTCAAAGAACTCATCGCTTTCTGAGAGCTGCCATGATGGTTTCCTGTTTCTGTCTCTGAGGTCACTTTCAGGCTTTTAAGGGATTTTATTGCACTTTTTGTCTGTTTATTTTTAACCTGCAGTGAGTGTGATGATGTCATCATCATGATGTCATTGTGATGAAGTCAGTGTGATGATGTCAGCGTGATGACGTCATCATCATGATGTCATTGTGATGAAGTCAGCGTGATGATGTCAGCGTGATGATGTCATCATCATGATGTCATTGTGATGAAGTCAGCGTGATGATGTCAGCGTGATGATGTCATCATGATGTCATTGCGATGATGTCAGTGCGATGATGTCATCATGATGTCATTGTGATGATGTCAGCGTGATGATGTCAGCGTGGCGTGATGATGTCAGCGTGAAGCGGTTAAAGAGGCATTAAATCAACAGCAGCACTCCTTCACGCCATCACTCACCGCTGCTGCTCACACAATCAGGAGGTGAGAACCTGCTGCTGCTTGGTTACCATGGCGACGTGTGGTTTTAGCGGGGTTTAATGACCTGGAGTGGATGACGGGATGAGGGATAAAAATAGACGTGAGGAGAACATGAAGGACTCCAAACAGAGAGATGTGAAACGACACGCTGAGCGAGTTGTTGGAGGTTAAAGACGATGTGCGTGGTCAGAGCGGAGCATGCTGCAGCGTGCAAAGTTAAATATGAAATATATTCAGCCTGATGCTGATTCTCTTTCTGCTTCTTCTCTGTCAGGAGTGACTTCCTGTTTATAATAAATAAATATCACTCTTTAACCCCTTCCTGTTTGACAGGAAGCTCTTCATACCTACACGCCTTAAAACACCACGTGTCTGAGTGACAAAACAAATATTATGACTGTTTTAGATTTCTTCTACAGAAAAACAAACATTTATTCACATATATAAAATCCTCTCCACCATGTTCCTCTACAAACCCCCCAATGATGAGAAAAGTCCATCCTCTCTGTCTTCTGCCTGCTCCACTTTTCAGAAAATGTGTGCTCAAACAGGCTGTTTGGAGATGACATCTTTGTGAGGATGACATCACAAAGGGCAGTAGCCCCTCCCCCAGGTGGGTGACACTCCCACAGCTAGGTGTTTGTTCTGCCCTCTGAGTCTGCCTTCTCACCGTAAACAATAGGACATGGAGCGAGAAAGACCGAGTACACCTAAGCCCTTCCAGAGGGGGGGCGTGGTCAGACACAGCTCATTTACATATTTAAAGGTACAACACAGAAACAGTCTGTTCTGAGCAGGCTGAAATAGAGGGGTTTATAGACATGATCAAATACAGGATCAGAGTGGATTTAGAACAAGAAACTTCACACACATGTTTTGAGGAGCTCTGAGACTTATTTACACTGAAGAAGAGGAGGAGAATATGTGACCTTTAAATGTCATCAGGTGTTTGGGTTGGTTCATTAATTTAGAGAAACTGTCGATGTATCTTTTCTGAAAATATTTAAGTCTGTCTGTCTCTGATCTTCATAGAGCTATAAGAAAGTATATTTTATGGAATAAATAAATACATATTTTACATTTTATCATTTGAGTGTGGTTCAAACTGTCAGTATCTCCTCCTCTATCTATTTCCTGCTCTTTTTATTTCCCACTTGCTGCAGTTTCATCAACTTGTAGTTTCACGAGTTCTCCAGCAGAGGTCGCCGTGCTTTAGCTCATGTTGAAGGGATGACGCAGATTCCTGAGGTCAGAGGAGGAAGAAGAGCAACAGCAGAGGAAACTGTGGAGTTGGTTCTTAAAGTGATAAATGTTGTTCTCTGGATGAACTCTCGCGCTGCAGAACGTTCTGGAAACAGACTCGGGTGAATTCACTGCTGCTCGTCTCTCTGCACAGCCGGCGTGTCCCATCATCCTCCACAACACGTCACCATGGTGACAAGGCCGAGAGCTGACACATCAGCCGCTGTGGAAACACCAGTTGCTATAGCAACGGTCATGGTGCAGGATTGAAGCGACAACATGGCCACCAGTGGAGAGTTGTTAGAGTGCTGTCAGTCAATGATTCCACACCGACGCAGAGACTGAACATTTAGTGTCTGAAAAGTATTTTTAAACATGAAGGTGAAGCGACAACGTTTCTGTATTCTAGAGGTTCTTCTCACAAGTTGGAGCTGCTCGTCCCCCGAGACCAACCGTCCACCATTTCTGTCTTCTGGAGTGTTTTGGAGTTCTCTAAACTTTTCTCTTCCAGGTCATGGATATCAGACCACATGAGGACTGACTGGTGTTATGTTGTGTACCCCTGCTACTGTTGAGAAAGCTGGAGCCAAAGAGCAGCGTGAGACAGACATGGAGGATCAATCACAGATATCACAAGAACAAGTGTACAAACATCAGCTATCTGAGGCGGAGCCTAAATATCCACTGGACAGATCCCATCAGTAACAACGACCTTTGGCAGAGAGTGGGTCAGAAACCTGTGGAAGAGGAGCTCAGGTCTTTAGATGGAACCTCCAAGGCAGGAGAAGGAGAGGCCGGCCCAAGAAGACCAGGCGCAGAGACCTGGAGACTGGCATCAAACAGAGCGGACTGTCCTGGAAACAGGTGGACTGTGGTCGACGGCGGTGTAAGTCAGTTAGTTAAACAGCTCAACAGATTTTCTGTTAAAGTTGAAGTTGATCTCTCTGCAGCCCTCTGGTAGCCCCCCTGGTGAGACTGTGTGGAGTTTCTGCCTCGACCTTTCAGGGCCCGAGTCCCTGAACTGGGAGGCATCGTGCGTGTCTGTTTACCCATCATGCTTTGTTTCCCCAAAGCTGCATGAGGCGAGGTTTAGTGTCCAGCTGTCCTCTCTGAGTCTGAGCAGCTGAGCCTCAAACTCTCAGAGGAGACTTTAAATAAGTGTTTCTTTTGAGCAGTAAAGGGTTAATTGGGAATTAACAACTTAATGATGATTAATCTCATGTTTGTCCCTTCAGGCTCTCCGTAGATAATCGTCCTCAGTGTCTCCCTGTAGTCTCACTGACATCACACATTGACCTTTGAGCTATTTGACCTCACTTTGGGATCCCTAACCACTTCCTGTTTCTGTGCTTAACATCCTGTCCTAACCTTCACTCTACAGGAAGGGCCTTACTGTATTACAAAATAAAAGCACACAGGAAGTAAAGTACTATCAGCTTAAGACAGGACAAATATTCAAAATAAACACCTAACAAGTTTTATTTTGAAATGCAAAATAATTGGAATGTCAAACATGCGACTAATCTTGATTAAATGTAATCGGTAACAGCTCTAGTTTGTTTACGTCCTGTAGGTTGTAAAAGACAGAATGATTGGAGTAGCGGTGTATAATAGCCTAGAGGTTATGTCTCACCCCCCTCCCCCACTTCTCCCTGCTGTCCTCTTTCATTTTGTTAATTAGTTTTATTTTTTCTAAGACAAAAAGGACTTTAAAAACGTGCCGGGAGTAAACCTGGAAACAGAAAGTTAAAGTCACAACAGGCTGTTTGGATTTTCACAGTTTACTGACATCACCTTACAAACATCTCTCCGACTGCCGCTCGGCCCGACAGCTTCATGGACATCACGATCCAAACGTCACGTACATTTGTGAGGTCACAGGGTGCGTGAAAACACTCAAAAAAAAAACATCCAAGCGTCCCTCGCCTCTCATCATGACATCATGACATCATGACATCATACAGACCTGAGCACAGGACAGAGCTGACGGACACAGACTGCAGGTCAGAGTTTGATTATTGCACACAGCCCAACCAGGACCAGATCCACCAAACCAGGACCAGATCCACCAAACCTGGACCAGATCCACCAAACCAGGACCAGATCCACCAAACCTGGACCAGATCCACCAAACCAGGACCAGATCCACCAAACCTGGACCAGATCCACCAAACCTGGACCAGATCCACCAAACCTGGACCAGATTCACCAAACCTGGACCAGATCCACCAAACCTGGACCAGATTCACCAAACCAGGACCAGATCCACCAAACCTGGACCAGATCCACCAAACCAGGACCAGATCCACCAAACCAGGAGAACATGAACCCAGAAGCTGCTTAGTTTTTCTTTCAATTATTATTCTAATAACTTTAATAGAAGTTAGGACAGAAATGTAACCCACATTTTATATTCAGAATTCTTTCAAGGTAAGCTATCACGTTAGCAGGTTAGCTTAGCTTAGCTTAGAGAAAATACTTTATGAGTGTGTGTTTTTTCTGTGTTTTGATGAGTGTTTATGTCGTCGTGTGGATCTTGTGATGAGTGACTCTCCTTCAGTAAAACTCCTTCCAGGGTGAAGATGTTCAGAAACTGAGTTTAGGGTGTTTCTGTGTAGACGTCATGCTGTGCGTCGGTTTCTCCTCCGTGTGACGTCATCGTGCGGCGCCGTCACTTTTGTTGACATGAGATTAGTGTGATGGCAGACGTAACCAAACTAGCGCTGGTGCTAACGTCGCTAACTAGACTTTGCCATTCTCTTGCGTTACAAGTGAATGTGATCGGTGAGGATCAGAAGTCGAGTCACAGTTTTGATTTTCTTAAAAACATATTTCCCTTTTTTAAGAATCCTCAGCCAGAAGAGTTGAAAGACTTTCGCTCGGCCTCAGACGAACTGCATGCTAACACAGTTATCTTGATCAGCGTGTAACGTGCTCTATAACCAGCATGAGCGTGGTCATTTTATTAACCTTTAACACAACAGACTTCAGAGCAGCTCGGTGCTAATCAGGAGTTAGAATGCTAGGTTCGGACTGTAAGAGAGCTCGTTTCTGCACACAGGGACACACACGAGCAGAGCAGGGCGTTCAAATCAATAAAATACATAAAAATGTAAAATATGGTTCGAAAATATACTTTTACATTACAGAGTTCATCTTGTTCAGGAAACACAAAGGACAAGAAATCTTTGGCTAAACACTACTGACAGGTTAGTATCAAACTTTCTATCATCACACACACACACACACAGATTCCCTTTTATACTGAGTTGAAAAGTCTGACTGACCTGAACACTCGTTGTCTCCTTCACATTTGAACAGAATATGAAAATAAACAAAAATGTTCAGATTTTTAACAAAACTGAATTGAACAGTTTGATCAAAATTAAACGTGACATTTAACCCTGATAACCCCCATTTCAGGAAATCAATGCTTAGGTGGATTTTTTTGTGCAAGTTGAAAAATCGATCGTTGTTTGCTTTTTTTCATGTCATGGGACCCGGCTTGATTTGAGCTTACATTGGATTTAGATGAAAAACCGTTTTGCTTTTTGCCTGAACACGTTTAATAGTTTTACTTTGAAGGGTAATTTCATGCTGAACTATTTCCACAGACTCAAGCCAAGCTACTTTTTTTTTTAACCTTGTTGTTCGGGGTCGAGCTTCATATTGAAGAAACAGATGTGAGAGCCTTCTCATTTACGATCAACCAGGAAGTCAATCAGTATTTCCCAAATTGTCACAGCAGTTTTGATTTTTAGAGTTTGATTATTAAGGTGCAGAATTCCTGTTTCATAATTTTCCAAGAGTTTTCAGTTAAACCAAAAAAAAGGAAAATGGAGACACTTTGTCACAAGGCAACACAAGCGATGTGTGATGTTTCCAACAGCTCGCAGGCCGTCTGGTGTGTGAAGAAGCCGACCAGTCATTCTGAGTCTGTAACCACAGCAGATTCGGAGGCTGTCTGTAGTGTACAAACCTGCAGGATCTCCTTATAGTCAGGGTTTGATAAGAGGGTCTCCTCGGACTGAACTGTTGTTCATCATGGGTAGGATTTGAACCTCTCTGTAGCTCTGGACACTTTTTCAGTATTTCTGTTGGTCATATACTCCTCGAGCTGTTTGATTGGTGTGTGAAGAAGTGTTGCTGTATGTCGGAGGTCTCCATCAGACAGTAGTAACCGATAACAGAGGACTGGGACACAGCTGGTTGTCACTCTCCACCCGGGTCCCATGAGTCAGCAGCTCCTCCACCGTCGTCCAATCATCGAGCAGCTTGCTGTTCCTCAGTCGGTTTTGTTTCATGTGACTCAGCTCCAGCACCGTCTGAGAAGACAGCGCCCCCTGAAGCCCCCCGCCGTGCTCTTCTCCTCCTACCCTCCTCTCTCTGTGTTGCCTTGACAGCGCCAGATGTCGTCTCCTCTCGGTCCGGTTCCAGTACCGCCCCGCCCATCTGCCTTCGTCCCCATCCTCTCCGCCCCCCCTGTCCCCGCCTCGGACCTCTTCGTCTGTCGTCACCTCGCTGCGTTCCCTGGCCAGCCGGTAAGCTCTGGCTCTGAGCAGCTGGTTTCTGACGGACTTTGGATTGGACAGTCTGGAGCGGGGGGAAGGTGGAGAGCGAGGGCTGCACTGCGGGGCTCCGAGCGTGCTGTACAGAGGACCAGACGGACCTTTGGGATTGCTGGTTCGATTCCCGAGAGTCTGAATGCCACGCCAGTCCGATGTCCCGCTTGAACCAGAACCCGGACTCTTAGACAGCGAGTCGTCCTCCCGGCTGCGGGTTGAACCTCTGCTGCTCCTCAGTGAGTTCTGCTGATTGGTCAGACTGGTTCTATCCAAACTGAGGTGACTGGTGGAGTGGCAGTTACTGGGATAACTGGCCCTGCTCCTCGGCCCCGGCGTGCCGTTGGCGTTCCCCGGTTGGCTGGTTTGAAGGCTGTTTTGTTGCGTGTTTGGATCCGTCGTGTTGGGATGACTGGCCCTGCGACGCCGTTGACCTTCACTCAGATCTGTTATTGTTCGACTTCTCCCTGGAGCCTCTGTTGTCCTTCCTCCTCCTTGTTGCTGCTCCAACCACAGCGCCCTCCGCTGGCACGGTTCAGTACGACAACCTGCAGAGAGACAGAAGTTTTCAAATATTAAATCTTCATTTAGTCCGACACCGTACGCCAGGGAAAAATCTCCCCTCGGCCCCTTGAGAGACAAACTGTAGGGTCGGCAGAGATGGATGATGTAACTTTACTAACCGACAGAAGGAGATGGAGGCGAGCGGTGGCGAGGTAAGGTGGGACTCCTCTCCGCTCTGTGAAAGTGAACTGTTGTAGTCGTGCTGTTACCCACAGTGCAGCGGGAAGCCTGTGGTGTGCCGGAGTGAGTCATTGGAGTCGTCTCGGGGATGGACTCCAAATCCCAGCGTCCTCTCTGCTCTCTGGGGGAGTGGCCTGATCGAAGGTGGTGAGTTTGTCGATGGGCGTGGTTCCCGTGAATCTTGTGCAGTCGTCTGTGCTCGCCCGTGCTGACGCTGTGGAAGCCTGAGTCGCTGGGTTCAGAGGAGATCAGAGACTCGGAGGAAGAGGAGGAGCCTTGGGAGGAAGGGGTGTGACCCGGCAGCGACGACATGGCGTCCGTCTCGGCCTCAGAAAGCAGCATCCGGTGGTTCGGGCTGTCCGGACCACATCCCAGCCCGCTGTCGAGCTCACTGAGAGGAAGGTATCCAAGATGACGATCTGACCGCCACGGAGGGCAATACTCCGACTGAGGAGGAAATAAGAGAGGAGTCATTCAGGTTACAACAAATAAAGTCTGGTACAGCCTAAAGATATCTAAATACTGGACATCCTGGAGAAGACTTTCTCTTCATATAGTAAACTGTCAAGCAACTTAAAACACACAAATGGAGTTGAGAAACGGCATCTAGGTGATCTGAAATCTAAAGCAGATATGGAACCCATAACAATGATATTTGCCTCTTAGAGCAGCTGGCACATTTTCAGGTCATCAGGTAAAGACAACAGTTAGCAGTAAAGGACTTCATTTGCAGTCTGATTAACAACCTGAGGAGCAGGAATGGAGCTTATTGAGAGAAGACTGGCTGCACTGGTATGTAGATGTTGTTTCAAATATTTCAATTAAAAGAATCCTCCATCGATAACCGCTGATATGTCCCAGTATCCCTTTAAGGTGGATTCCTTTTTGCCTCTTTGGCTCTCTGCGCCTCTCGCAAACTGTTTTCCTGTGTACAGCCAAAGCCAGCTGAAATGATAATGAATTCTTTTACTACCTAAACTAAACCCAGAACACTTCCAACATCCAAATCTGGTCCTGTGCCTGCAGATCATTCTTCTTCATGCAGAATCCTGAACATAGATTAATCAGAGGCTTAAAAGCATCATCAGATGACAGCTGAAGGATTCCAGGTTTGTACTCTGCCCACTGCGTCACACCTCTTTTGGTCTCCATAATGACTCTAAACATGACAAGTGGAGAAACCAGAAAGTAGAAGAGTTCCATGACCAGACAGAAGGTAAGAGAATGACATGAAGCAGAGAGAGGGTTGAAGATGTTTCTGAGAAATTAAGAAGCTACCTGTCTTTGGAAATGATTGGACTCCATCTCCTCCGTGTTGTAGCAGCCAATCAGACAGCTCTCTGAGCTGGGCTGGTAGGGCAACATTTCTGGAGCCTGCTATAAAATCAGAGATACGTAGAAATTGGGGTGAAAATGTGACTTTTTATTATGTCTGGAAAACAAAACCGATAAATCACCTGGTAATCCAGTCTGTCCAGGTGATCTAAGCTGTAGGAGACGCTGGGTAGGTAGCTGTTACCCGGATGCTGGTCGTTTGATCTGGCCAGGTAGCCGTTGGGTGCATAGCCATCAGGTGACATCATCATTCGACTATTGGCCGTGTACAGGTCAGGTGACACGGTCATGTGACCATAGTAAGGCCTGTGCAGGGGAAGCAGTGAGGTCATGTTTTAAAGGTGCTAAAGAGAATTCATGAGTCAGCTCTCAGATCACGTCGGGTTATTTATTGCTCAGATATGCATGGGTGGAAGTGGACTGACCGGTGAAATGTAAATTCCTGGATGAATATTTATAGTCTTCATGTATAATCATAGCATGTGTTGCACTGACAGCTGTCTCTGCAGAACAACCTTCCACTCATGAATATGTATTACAGCGCCCAGGGACTCGATGCAACACCGCGCTGAACTTGCAAACTGAAAACTGTCGCTCCATTGAGTCATCGATAGACAGAAGGAGAAGTCTTATTCTTGTACCTTTAAACTCAGTTATTCCATCTAAGGTATTTTTTTTTGGCATTCTTGACTTTATGAGACAGGACATTTGAGGAGAGACAGGAAATGTTGGGGGGGATGACATGCAGCAAAGGGCAGAGGTCGGATTTGAACCCACAGCCCCTGCGATGAGGACTACAGCCGCGCAATATAACCACAAGGCTACCCGGCGCACCCCAAACTCAGTTAATTGACTTTTTATGAACCATTACCAGACCTAGTTTGGCCTTATTCTGCCATGATGATTTCTCTCCCTCGTCCCAAACTTGTACCCTGTTTTTATACTTTAGTCTCTGCCCACAACAGATCGTTTACCATCTTACCAAATGTCCAGTCTCTATTAAAAAACCCTTTTCCCAACCTTCTTACCCCCAATAACAATCCTTTACCCTTTTTCAAACACTGATTTTAACCTCTTTCCCATCGGTTCATTCTATTCCATATTGTCTGCACCTTCTCTGGGTTTTTACCAAAGAAAAAACAGTCCTCAAACCATTCCCCAAGTGTTAACAAACATCTACCCTGATCCTTTACTCTTACTTTGAATCTTCCAATAGCATGATGTTCTTTTTTTTTTTTATAGATTTATTTTGGGCTTTTCATGCCTTTAATGCAGAGAGAGGACAGTGGATAGAGTCAGAAACCAGAGAGAGAGAGGACAGTGGATAGAGTCTGAAACCAGAGAGAGAGAGGACAGTGGATAGAGTCTGAAACCAGAGAGAGAGAGAGGACAGTGGATAGAGTCTGAAACCAGAGAGAGAGAGAGGACAGTGGATAGAGTCAGAAACCAGAGAGAGAGAGGACAGTGGATAGAGTCTGAAACCAGAGAGAGAGGACAGTGGATAGAGTCTGAAACCAGGGAGAGAGAGAGGCAGTGGATAGAGTCTGAAACCAGAGAGAGAGAGAGGACAGTGGATAGAGTCAGAAACCAGAGAGAGAGAGAGAGGACAGTGGATAGAGTCTGAAACCAGGGAGAGAGAGAGGGCAGTGGATAGAGTCTGAAACCAGAGAGAGAGAGAGGACAGTGGATAGAGTCTGAAACCAGAGAGAGAGAGGACAGTGGATAGAGTCTGAAACCAGGGAGAGAGAGGACAGTGGATAGAGTCTGAAACCAGGGAGAGAGAGGACAGTGGATAGAGTCTGAAACCAGAGAGAGAGAGGACAGTGGATAGAGTCTGAAACCAGAGAGAGAGGACAGTGGATAGAGTCTGAAACCAGAGAGAGAGAGGACAGTGGATAGAGTCTGAAACCAGAGAGAGAGGACAGTGATAGAGTCTGAAACCAGGAGAGAGAGAGGACAGTGGATAGAGTCTGAAACCAGAGAGAGAGAGAGGACAGTGGATAGAGTCTGAAACCAGGGAGAGAGGACAGTGGATAGAGTCTGAAACCAGAGAGAGAGAGAGGACAGTGGATAGAGTCAGAAACCAGGGAGAGAGGACAGTGGATAGAGTCTGAAACCAGAGAGAGAGGACAGTGGATAGAGTCTGAAACCAGGGAGAGAGAGGACAGTGGATAGAGTCTGAAACCAGAGAGAGAGGACAGTGGATAGAGTCAGAAACCAGGGAGAGAGAGGACAGTGGATAGAGTCTGAAACCAGAGAGAGAGAGGACAGTGGATAGAGTCAGAAACCAGAGAGAGACAGTGATAGAGTCAGAAACCAGAGAGAGAGAGAGGACAGTGGATAGAGTCTGAAACCAGGAGAGAGAGGACAGTGGATAGAGTCAGAAACCAGAGAGAGAGGACAGTGGATAGAGTCTGAAACCAGAGAGAGAGGACAGTGGATAGAGTCTGAAACCAGAGAGAGAGAGAGGACAGTGGATAGAGTCTGAAACCAGAGAGAGAGGACAGTGGATAGAGTCAGAAACCAGAGAGAGAGAGGACAGTGGATAGAGTCTGAAACCAGAGAGAGAGGACAGTGGATAGAGTCTGAAACCAGAGAGAGAGAGGACAGTGGATAGAGTCAGAAACCAGAGAGAGAGGACAGTGGAGAGAGAGAGAGAGGACAGTGGATAGAGTCAGAAACCAGAGAGAGAGAGAGACAGTGGATAGAGTCTGAAACCAGAGAGAGAGAGGACAGTGGAGATAGAGTCAGAAACCAGAGAGAGAGAGAGGACAGTGGATAGAGTCTGAAACCAGGGAGAGAGGACAGTGGATAGAGTCTGAAACCAGAGAGAGAGAGAGGACAGTGGATAGAGTCAGAAACCAGAGAGAGAGGACAGTGGATAGAGTCTGAAACCAGAGAGAGAGAGGACAGTGGATAGAGTGTGAAACCAGAGAGAGAGGACAGTGGATAGAGTCTGAAACCAGAGAGAGAGGACAGTGGATAGAGTCAGAAACCAGAGAGAGAGAGGACAGTGGATAGAGTCAGAAACCAGGGAGAGAGGACAGTGGATAGAGTCAGAAACCAGGGAGAGAGGACAGTGGATAGAGTCAGAAACCAGAGAGAGAGAGGACAGTGGATAGAGTCTGAAACCAGAGAGAGAGGACAGTGGATAGAGTCAGAAACCAGAGAGAGAGAGGACAGTGGATAGAGTCAGAAACCAGAGAGAGAGAGGACAGTGGATAGAGTCTGAAACCAGAGAGAGAGAGGACAGTGGATAGAGTCTGAAACCAGAGATAGAGGACAGTGGATAGAGTCTGAAACCAGAGAGAGAGAGGACAGTGGATAGAGTCTGAAACCAGGGATAGAGGACAGTGGATAGAGTCTGAAACCAGGGGATAGAGAGGACAGTGGATAGAGTCTGAAACCAGAGAGAGAGAGAGGACAGTGGATAGAGTCAGAAACCAGAGAGAGAGAGAGGACAGTGGATAGAGTCTGAAACCAGGAGAGAGAGGACAGTGGATAGAGTCAGAAACCAGAGAGAGAGAGAGGACAGTGGATAGAGTCTGAAACCAGGAGAGAGAGGACAGTGGATAGAGTCAGAAACCAGAGAGAGAGAGGACAGTGGATAGAGTCTGAAACCAGAGAGAGAGGACAGTGGATAGAGTCTGAAACCAGAGAGAGAGAGAGGACAGTGGATAGAGTCTGAAACCAGAGAGAGAGGACAGTGGATAGAGTCAGAAACCAGGAGAGAGAGGACAGTGGATAGAGTCTGAAACCAGAGAGAGAGAGGACAGTGGATAGAGTCTGAAACCAGAGAGAGAGGACAGTGGATAGAGTCTGAAACCAGGGAGAGAGGACAGTGGATAGAGTCAGAAACCAGAGAGAGAGGACAGTGGAGAGAGAGAGAGAGGACAGTGGATAGAGTCAGAAACCAGAGAGAGAGAGAGGACAGTGGATAGAGTCTGAAACCAGAGAGAGAGAGGACAGTGGATAGAGTCAGAAACCAGAGAGAGAGAGAGGACAGTGGATAGAGTCTGAAACCAGAGAGAGAGAGGACAGTGGATAGAGTCTGAAACCAGAGAGAGAGGACAGTGGATAGAGTCTGAAACCAGAGAGAGAGAGAGGACAGTGGACAGAGTCTGAAACCAGAGAGAGAGGACAGTGGATAGAGTCAGAAACCAGGGAGAGAGGACAGTGGATAGAGTCAGAAACCAGAGAGAGAGAGGACAGTGGATAGAGTCTGAAACCAGAGAGAGAGGACAGTGGATAGAGTCTGAAACCAGGGAGAGAGGACAGTGGATAGAGTCAGAAACCAGAGAGAGAGGACAGTGGAGAGAGAGAGAGAGACAGTGGATAGAGTCAGAAACCAGAGAGAGAGAGAGGACAGTGGATAGAGTCTGAAACCAGAGAGAGAGGACAGTGGATAGAGTCAGAAACCAGAGAGAGAGAGAGGACAGTGGATAGAATCTGAAACCAGGAGAGAGAGGACAGTGGATAGAGTCAGAAACCAGAGAG